TTCTACCACCTCTGTAACTTTCTAAATAAACTTTCTCTTATAACTTGAAAAAAAGAACACCTATTGTTTCATCCTTCCAGCAAATGCTATAAAATGTGTTAACTTTTTTATAGAGGTAAATCATAATTTACTTTTAAGAATGTTATGATATTCTGGAATGTCAAAACTATGAACCATGATCACTGTTGTCACAATATACAGTTATCTAAAAACTTTTCTAAATAATGGATAAGAAAAAAAAAAATATATATATATATATATGTATGTATATATATATATATATATATATATGTATGTGTATATATATATATATATATATATATATATATATATATATATATATATCGCATTTAACACGTTTATTAGGTAGGGGCACAGATATGCCCTTTGAGTATTAAGGACCTTGCCCCAGATTGAAAATCACTGTCATAGCAAGTTAGTGTTATCAGTAGCAGTGTACCTCATCCCACATGTGTGTCGGGTGTAGAAAATAAGATGTTGAGAACTTTCTACTCATAAATCTAGATTATCTGAACCTTTTCCAAAGGGATGTTCATCAGTTCATTCATGTCAGGAAGTACTCTCCTGAGAAATGAAAGCGACAAGTCACTCTTCATTTCCTTTACCTGTTACTAATACCAAATCTTACAGTTTTCATGAAAAACATCTTCCCTCTTTAACTATTGCTCCTCTCCTTCTAAAATCACAGCTGTCCCTCTCAAGCCACTCTGTTTATCATCTCTTTTAGTCACTCATTTCTGATCGCTGCACTTGGGGCGTCCTGTCCAGAGTAATGCTTCCACGTGTGAATGAATGAGCACAGGCGATCACCACAAATTAACCTGGACCCTTAAAATGCTTGGGTTAGGGGAATAAATCAACTCCCCTTTGCAGTAATTTAGCACATTCAGATGAAGAGCAGCGAGTGCATTCTGTTCCGCAGAAGGGTCTCGGTCCTTGACTCTCCATCTCTCTCCGCACCCACCCCCGCGACGGCTCCTGTTCCTCACGGCTGCCCTAATGGCCAGCTTTGCCTCTTTGTGAAAACAAGTTTAAATTGGTTTGGGCAAATGGGCTTTTAGTTGCTGTTCTGCTCGATTTTACTTGACTGTTCCCACTGTGCAGGGCTCCATTAGTGATTTTCAAGTCTAAGTCTTCAAGGTTATTATTCTGCTTTTAATGGAAAATATGATTTAAATATAATTTTTAAGGAAATGATAGGCTGGCCAGCATCCGTAGGCAACCAAGAGAAATGACATTGCTTCTTTACACACAATGAATGGCCAATCCATAGCACGAGCAAGCAAACAAACAAATATATAGAATTGATTTAAGAAAATAACTCGTGTAAGTTTTAGAATAGCAACCAGAGGATCTCATCCTGCTTACTGTTTATACTACAGTCATATGAGATTGAATCCTAAGGCAATGAATATAATCACACATAATTATACATGATTATATAATTACAGTGTCGTATGTCATGGTTCAGCCACTGTAAAATAGTGACATAAAATGCCTTCCGACTGGATTATGCTAACATACTAACTAATAATAATAACTGGTACTGATATTAATGCACTTATTGAGCAACTGGTCAGTGGGAGGTCTTCTGCTAAGAGATTTAGTACAATATTTAACTTGTATAAGCATGTTATCCATATCCATATTTTGAACTTACAAAGAAACTTAAAACTCTAAGAGCTTATATAGTTATAAATATCTGTCCTTATTTGAACCCAAATTAATCTTACTCTCTTACATTAACAATAACAGTAATATGAATAGGGGAGTAATATGAAAATTCTAATAATTTTCATTAGAATTTTGCCTTTTAGGAGAGTAGGTGTGTTTATCACACAAAGTACACTGGTTTTGGAATCAGAGCTCTATTGATAATTTGGATCTACCAATTTATGATCTGAATAACTTTGTACAAGCTGTTTAATACCCAATCTTGGGCCCTCAGTTTCCTTATTTATAAGCTATTATAATGCAAAAACTGACCAGTATTTTTAGGAAGATATAAAGTGTTATGTGAATGAAGTGGAAAAAATAAATAAAGGAAATTAGTTCAAGTGTGCAGAAACAGGCCATTACAAAAGACAGCATACTGGGAAATTTCAAAATGTAGGATTTTGAAATCCTCCCACTGAGGAGGAAGACTATTCCAGTACAATGACAAGGGAAAAAAAAGAACAATGGAAATGTGTGATGCAAAGATAGTTAATAGTCTATTTGCGTAGACAAGGGGTGTGTGTGTGTGTGTGTGTGTGTGTGTGTGTGTGCGTGCGCGCACACGCGCAGCTAAAGAGGAACTGGAGTCAGGGCATGGAGACTCTTAAATGCTGTGTTTAGGATTTAGAATCAAAGTTATACAGAATATTTGTTAAACATTTTAGAATTGAAGAACATTTTAAGATTAAATCATGACCCCACTTCTTACTAGCTTTGTGACTATGAGCAAGAGGAATTAAACTTCATTTCCTCTTATTTAAAATGTGGTAATCAAAGTAGCTGTCTCACAAAGTCAATTAAGGACTGAGTGAAATAATGCTATAGCTCTTAGCTCACCTAGCACATGGAGGGCTTAATAAGTGATTGAATGCTATTATTATATGAAGAACTTGGATGCCACTTCAGATCTGACATTACAATGAAAACCCCATCTACTGCCCTTAATTATCTACTGGAACTCAGCTACCTACTATTATTTGCAGCCTTAGGTTCTTGCCCACTTAAGAAATTTGAGGTTGTGTTTGCTGTGCATTAACTTGATTAGCCTCAACTTGTAAAAAATTGAAAGTTGTGAAAAGGTAAGAGAGCCTAAATAGGCCCTATTTTCTGATACTGCTTTAGCTAGCAGCATTTTTACAGCATTGATTATGGTGGCTTGGATATTTTCTATGATGGGAAGATTGACAATGCTATTCTTGGTGTGCCCTTGCAACTCCAATTTCCTAAATATTCAAAGAAATTTCTATTCTTGAAAACAAATCATTTAAAAAATGTTTCAGTGGATGGTAGAGCCTGAAAAACTGTTATGGTGGAATGTTTTTAAAATTTTATTCAAGATGAGAGAGAGGATGTTAATTCTTCTTCAATACAATAAGATATATAAATTATTACCTTGCTTACTATTTTTGAAAGACCAATCATCTTTTAGGAACTTCTCCATGAGAAGTTCTCCTTAACTAAATATAGGCATGTAAGCCAAGATGTCACTGTCATCTGGGAGGCTACAAATTCTCTGGGAACATTTTAATTTCATGTTCAGAATCATAATATCTTTACAGCTCTTTCAGTTCAACTTTATGGGGTAAAATCCCTTGAGTGTTTAGCTATGTCCCCAGGTGCCTTCAAAACCTTTGGGTTTCCCAGTATCATTTTATGGCAATGGACTGGTCTTAAGGATTCTGGGTGTCAAGGAGAGGAAACATATAATTATACTTACATATATAGCTTATACTGATAAGTAATAAAGCATTTCATGTCTTTTACTTCCCCTGAGACTCACAGCATCATGGTAAGGGCAAAGATTAAATAACTTAGAGTTTAGAGGTAATGAAACAAAAGCTTAAAGAGATTTATTGACTTGTTCAACATCAGAGTGCCAACAATATAATTTCATAGATCTGAGTCATATAGCAATATCCTGACCAATATAGCATAGCCATTGAGAGACTAAGTACTTTCAAGGGAATTGTCATTTTTTAATAAGAACTGCTGGTTGTCACCAACATAACGTATTAGCTGTTTTAAAGAAAACTTTAATATGAGCAATCTGAAAGTAATACCAAGTTTTCCATAAGCATCATTTAGATAATAGTATGAGATAGGGGTTGCTCCTGCTAACTTTGTAAAAATGCATTACAATAGCAACATAACACACTCTAAAGGACTTCAAATTCTTACTTCTCTTTAGTAATTTAAGTTTTGGAAACCATGAGCCAGACATTATGGAACGTTTTCAGATAAGGTGTAATTGCTTGAATCTATAATTATGCTAATGAGATTCAGGTGAATAATCATGTGTCTAATTATGAAAACAAAACACCATTGGATTCTTAAATAGATGACCACATTACCATGTTCCTTTTCTTATCTGCTTTTAACCTAATCATTCATGTGTGGTGTGTGCACATGGGTGCTTTTTACTCTACTAAGAACATTAGGTTAAAAATTATGTCATATTTAATTATCTTAAAAAAACTGTTATACAAATGTTTCTCATTTAAAATTTAATTTTGCTGACTGATTAAGAACAATTCTTTTAAAATCTTTATCAACATTAATCTTTATAATATCATATTTATAAAGTATGTTATATTCTGCCTCAAATTATTTTAATCACTTTTTGTTATATTTTATTGAGTTTTATTTCAGGAATGTATTTCATATGCATTATCTCATTTAATCTTTACAACAATGCCAGTACACTGAAATTTAGAAAGCTTATCCAAGTTATTACAGTTGGACAATCCAGGATTTGAACCAAATTCCAAATTAGAGTCTCTTAAATGACTGTATAATGGGTGAATATATAATTTATTATTTAAGAGAAAATATCTAAGTCCATTGTTTGCTCCTCCAAAACTGTCATACCATGTGCTTATTCCCTTTCCTATTTAAGAAGGTGTTCTCACAGCCTTTTTCCTCCTGACATCCTAAAAGATACAGAGACTCTAAAGTATGCAGAACTTTAGTTAAATTAACTCGTTTTTAATTATAAATTTTAACTATATTGGTTACTAATTTTTTTCTTTCTATTCACTCTTTGAATAATAAGCTTTAGTTAAGTATTCTTTTAAAATTCTAACAGAATTGTGAATCATATATATATACAGATGTACATATATACACACACATATATAATACGTCATTATAGATTATGTTATGTATTATATTATGTTATATATTATATCATGTTATGTCTATATATATATCTTATGTGTTTTATATATAATTTATATATTTATACATAATTTTAAGATATTTCTTCACTTTGCTAACCATAATATACAAAGGAAGTATGAAAATATCTACATTTTTGGTTTGTTTGTACTAAATTTACCTACTCTGAATATAAATAAGCTGTCTTAAAGTACATTTAGTTTTTGTTGCAGACTAAATCATGAATTGATAAGCATCATTAAAAAACTCATTATGTTTCTAGATTCTAATTTCACTAAAAATCTCAATAGTTTCTGGTAATAATAAAGTAGGTAATAATAAAATAATAATACAAATAACTTATTAGCAATTCTATTTTATATGCGGTGAACCTAAAGTCCAGGGGAAAGTAATTGGTGCTTATTCTATAGATAATCCACCAATTAAATTAAACAGAACCTGACTCTCAATTTCAATATAAGTTGTTCATTTACAAATCAGAACTGACGAGGGCTGTTCACAATGAACAAAATAGGTAATTCTCATCAAACGTCTTACCTGCACAATGTCCCTTTCAGCATATTTTCCTCTGGAGGAAACTCGTACATCATCTCCATCCAACTCAATCATTGCTTGAAAATAAAATAGAATTATTTACTTAGTGCAGATTAGCCATACATTAAAACGATGGAGGCAATAAGGAAACCAACACGTATGAAGCAGCAATACGTCCTACGTAAAGTCAGAAAGCTGGTGAGCCCGTCATCTTCTGTCATTCCTCCCGCAGACCTTGACTGAGGGTAAATGTTACAATGAAGGAAACAGGCCAGCACCTCATGTGATTCTTTGAAAGACCAGCAGAGCCAATGTGGTAGAAAACAGTCCATAGGTGCATCGCCCCATCCCTGGGTTCTCAACTCGAGTTATATGCTTACAGGACTGTTTGAACAAATGACACAAATCCATTCAATTTTAGTTTTTCTTTCTAATTTTAGAAACTTGGTGCTAGTCATCATAGAATTTCCCATAACAATTTGAGTTTTATTTCTATTGAAACTGTAACAAAGCTATATATCCATATTGCCCAATTTCTACTTTAAAAATAGATTTACAAGAAGACAAGTGCCGGCCTATGTGGCTCAGTGGTTAGAGCGCTGGCCTGTGCACCAAAGGGTCGCAGGTTCAAACCTGGTCAAGGTCACATAGCTGGTTGCAGGCTCGGGCTCGATCCCTGACCCCAGTCTGGGGTGCGTGAGGGAGGCAACAATTAATGTGTCTTTCTAACATAGATGTTTCTTTCTCTCTCTTTCCCTCCCTCCCTCCTTTCCACTCTCTAAAAAATCAAAGGGAAAAATATCCTGGGGTGAGAATTAACAAAATACAAACAAAGCACAAAGAGACATTTGCTCTGCCCTTATACTGACTGGATAAAGTGTGATTTTTCTGAGGTACGCTTTTTGGTTGGGTAAGAGAGAATTTCAACATCACAGAAATCAGCGGGTATTTGAGAATGCTGCGATATAATAGTTCATCTGTGATACAGTAATGTTATGCTGCAATTAAGAGCATTTTCCAGAGTTTACTAGGTTTTCAATGAGAATTCTCTAAATAATTAATTACATGAGGAATGCTAATTTGCGCTTAAAGTGTAATTTTATTACTGATAATTCATTTTGTACACACATGACATTCACTAGACTCCAGAGAGCCACTTGCAATTATAATGTTTGCCTCTTAACCCTCCAAAAAATATTGCTCAGTCAGAATACAATCCTCGCCTTTTTTTGTTTGTTATTTTCTTCAGTGCATGCATAATGCATTTGGGTTAAAAACATTGTTTTAAATTTTACTTTTCTATACATGCTCATGAACCAGTGTCTGGGCTGAAGCACTGCTAGTATACACAACAGAGAGAGCCACCGCTCAGTTTGTTTAAATATACAATATATGTCATAATTTAGTAAAATGTGTATATGACTATAATAAGGTAATTATTCAAAATAAAGAAGACCTATTTTTTTTCTTTCCTACTTATTACAAATGTTAATAAGAAGAATTCCTTATACCAAAGTATTTTCAAGAGTTAATTCCTCTTTTTGGTCTAGGTTTGTTTTCAAAATATTCATATTACTGTGAGACATAAAGGTACATTGATGGTGACATGCCAGCAAAAATTCCCCTTTATTATGTAATTAGCTAATTAAAGAAAATGACAGTTATGCGGGCAATAATGTGTTAGACTGAGATCCTATAAAGTGTCTCCCACTTTCCAGCATGTCTTTTGGGCGAAAAGGCTGTATATGTAGCAAGACTGCACTTTTGAGAGCAAGGAGAAAAGAAACAGGGTGCAGGTGGTGGGAGGGGAATGTTCACCCTTCAGGTTTTCCGATCACCTGGTCCCCAAGGAGCCTGATGTAGGCCCCTGGTCCCCACCAGCACCTCTCCTTGGAAAACAGGTGAACGAGACAGACCTGCCTGTGCTACTTTCTAGCCATGGGAAGCGGGATAAAGTTAGAGCCCCTTCCAGTTCTTCGCTTATCCTAATGTGGATGAAAGCAGGTTAGCCAGATCCTGCTTTAATTTCCTTTTTGCCTTTTAAGAATAAAGCAATCCCACCTTGAGAAATCTTTCTTCTTAATGACAGTGCTTTAGAAAGGAGTGAAAAGTCCCT